CGTCGTTTCAGGTAGGAAAATACGCATCTACCCTAATTAGTGATTTTCAAGTTTCATAGCTGCAGGATTGCTCTGAAAAACATATTTGTCTAGTGTAATCTTGTGCAATCATGTCAAGTGCAACGGATCCTTTGTCTGACTTTGCAAAGTCCTTAGCGGACAAACTCCCTGGCAGCATCAAGGATGTCACAAAAGTATTGATGAATATGGCTGCGCAGTTTGTCAAGGCTATGTCTGGCTTTACCGCAACAATTAAGAATCAGGACTTATCCAGCAACGCTGTCAAGGCCGAATTGATAGCTCTCACAAAGTCAATAGGGCACATAAGCGGATTCTTTGAAAATTTTTGAAACGAAATGAAAAGCATGCACTTGGAACTTTTGGAGGTAAAAACACGCTGCATAGAGTGTCAAAGAAAAATTTTAGGGTATATAAGGAATTGATAGAAACTAGGAAGCAACTAATTGAGCTCAAACAGTACAGTCAAAGCGAAAATATTGAACTGAAGGAAATCACAGTGGTACCTAATGAGAACCTATCTTTGACTCTGCACAAAATTGCGTTGTCATTGGGTGTAAGGCTTGATGACAACGCACTTGATGCTGTTCATTGTGTACCAACGCGTTGGAGTGGCCCTCCGGACGTGGTGGTGAAGCTTTTGCCTAGATTGACACAAGACAGAGTTTCAGGAGGGCCGCCAAAAACACAGAAAGAACGGGTCGACCCTTGGTTTTTAGGGAAATGAGTCGGTGTTCGCAAACGAATGCCTGTGTCCTGAAAACAAGGTTATGCTTAAAACGGCAATAAAACTAAAACGATAAAAAATGTCAAGTTTGTGTGGGTGGCTGACGGCAAGATCCTCATGCGTAAAAGTGAAAATTTGCGCGTGTTTCATGTCACATGCGAGAGCAACCTTGCGGCTGTGGCTTAGGTAGTACGCATGTGCCTATATCCAGCACACATACCCAGTTCAAACAAAATGTCTCACTTTAACTCAACAAGACAACTATATCGCCAGAGGCCTGTCGATATTTTATAGCAACATTCGCAGCATACGAAAAAATTTTAATCAGCTTCTCGCTCATATTTCGCAGCTGCCACAACGCTTTGACGTAACCGCTGTTTACTCAAACTAAGCTAAAAAGAAATAAAAACGTTACTCTTCCTGATTACACAATGCTACCACAACCATGTGACTCTCGTTGTCCAGGGGTGATGTTGGTCATTTTGTTAATAATGAGCATTCGTATACAATTCTTCTTCCACTATTGTCAGGGTGGAATTACAGTGGGCGTATTTTCCCCAAATCTGTGTCTTCCCTCCTTTCTTGAACACTTGAAATGATTCTCAGTTACCTAACAAACAACGTCAAAAAATCTGCTGTTATTTTTGGTGATATGAACATTGATACCCGTGGTTCAGTCAATGACGACTACATGTGCTTACTAAAATCGTATCGACTTCTCAATCTCGTCACCACAACAACTTGAATAACAGATACGTCTGCTACAATGACGAATTCCGAGAAAAATAATAATGCTGGAGCGTAAGACAAACCTATCAAACATCATATCCCACTATTTGTCTCGGTTGATCAACTCAAGAGTAAAAACCGTGAACGGGGCCGAAGTTTGTAACGAAAATAGTTTACGTCGCTTTAAGAAATATTCTTCTCGGATCAAGCTTTGATCAAATATAGAATGATGACGATGATATATAATTTTCGAATTTCATTTCTCTTCTCAAAAACGCGATCAAAATAAGCAGCACAAACGTTTCGGTTAATTCACGGGAAGCACCAATATGTCTATAGATGAATAAAAAAATCTTGGAGGTCATAACGAGTGAGCATTACTGGCTTGACGAATGGAAACAGCATAAGCACAATGAATTCTTTTTGTGCCAGTTTAAAATATTGTATAATAAATCAGTGGCTTTAATGAGAATGAGTAAACAAAATTATTGTGTGCGACAAACAAAATTCGAAAGAACTTTGGAAAATTGCAAATACCGTTGTCGGCCACCCTCCGCCTTCTAAGGTACTTCCTGATGTCATCGACTCCTATACAGTTGAATCGTTTAGCACTTACTTCGCCTCGATAGGTTCAACACTAGAGAAAAAAAAAATGTAAGGAACCAAGTCTTGATCATGTTCTTTCAGATTTCAACCCGAACTTAATTGTCATGTACGAGATTGACCTTAAGGAAATGAGATCTATTGTGTTGGGCTTACTACTGGATAAATTGGCAGGCCTAAATGGGATAACTGCGAGGCTTCCTAACGAAAATTTAGACCTCCTCGAACCGGTATTGTGCCGCCTTTTTAATCTTTCCGTCAGTGCAGCCATTTTAGCTTGTTGTTAAAAAATTGCAAAGGTCATTCCAATGCATGAACGTGACGATAATTTTCAACCGTTCAACTATAGGCCAATCTGTTTTAAGTATAATTACCAATATCTCCAAGGAAATGCTTGCCAATCCTTTCTATATATTTATTGCGAAGTATAATATGCTCTCTATCAGCAACACGGATTTCGACCAAACTGTTTCACGTACGCCGCTGTTTCGACCCTTACGCAAATGATAAACACAGCATTGAATGAAAATGTAGCAACAGAGCCTATCTGGCTGCCATCACCGCTTGTCGCGACAAAGCTAGTCGCACGTGGGCTCAGGCAGTGCTCACTTCCACTCTCCCCTTCTGGCTATAAAGGCTGATCCTACGATCAATAAACATTCCTTCTTATCCTTGCACTTGACCAGTCTCATTCGGGAATCGCAGCGCGCGCTCGGTGAGGACCTCCGATCTAACAGAAAAATATGTTATTAGCAGTTATGTTTCTAGATCTAAAAAAAAATTGCTTTGACACGATAGACCACAGAATACTGCTACATAAATGACCACATTACAGGTTTCCATGGAATCAATTTACAACCTTTTTCGGACTACCTAAAAGGTCGCCAACAGGCTGTAGTAATTATTTTTTCTTGTACTCAACTACAAGTCCTTTGAATACCGGTGTTCTCCAGGGTTCGGTGCTGGAACCATTGCTGTTCTCCTTGTATGTAAATGACTTTCTGTGGGTATAACAGTCTTGTAACACACTGATGTACGCTGACGATACTTGTGTGATGGTAACAGGTCAAAAGCTGGGTGATCTTCAGTTGAAGTCTAACAGTTATTTAGATATGGTTGCTCAGTGGTAATAAAGCAGTAAAATATTTATAAATATTGATAAGACCAAATATATTACATTTCACTCCAGATTATATTTCAATAATTTTAGTGACATACACATTAAAATTAAAGATTCTGTGATGGAACAAGCAGCCCCAATTAACTATCTTAGTGTCACTATGGATAATAACTTAGACTTCCAGATGCAGGTTAAAAATGTGTGTTTCAAATTAGTTTCAGGGTGTTATGCACTTACTCAGGCTCGTCAACATTTTATTACCACTATTTTACGAACTTTTAATACGCTTTAATTATTGTCACATCTGATATCTCATTAAGTCTTTGGGTGGCACGTACACAACTTACCTGGACCCAGTTAGACGATTTCGAAAAGAGGCTGTAAGAATTAATTACTCATTCCTTGTATAATTATCCTTGTAAACCTCTGTATTCCCGATTACCCATCTAGCCATACGATAAGCTATGAAAATTAAAGCTGGCCAATTATGTATACACGGTTGTTAATTACAACCACCCCTTTCAATGTGTCGATGTTTTCCGCCCCTTCTCGTTGTACCAGACAAGTAACTTTTGGTAAAAGGAATATTCCACGAACTAACAACGGATATGGTTAACGGATTTTACAGTTCACTGGTATTAAGATCTGGAATGCTATACCATCTGAAATAATAGTGTGTTCAAATTTCACAAATACACTCAGAAACACTATTTAGAGGGATGTTGTAATTTATTATTGACCAGTTTTGTTTAGTGTGATGGCTTTTCTAATTTTAAGTAAAGTTTTTCTTTTCTTCCTCCTGGGATGTAAGAGTTTATTTTTTGCTGTTTTTTGAGTATTTTATGCACTGTACTGCTCCTTTTAAGATTTTTTTATTAGATATTTTATAACTTCTTTGGATATACTTCTTAAAGTGCCCTCACTAAAATGTATATTTTTTACCCAAACTAGCCAATGACTGAATGTCCACACTGTGTGTGAACGTTCATGACATTATTGATAACAATAAAATTCTAAATTCCAAATGAAATATGTGCAGTCCCAGAACTTTGGCATATCTTTTCGTATTAATTGTATACTATAAGTATTGACGCTAAATTATGTGTTTTCAAAATTCAAACAGAAATCTGTACAACGGAACGAGGATATAGTATTTGCCTACGTCTTGCAGAAATAATCCATGCAATGTAATGTCGAACTTTTACGATTAAGCGAAACAATAGTAAATGATCATCGCTTTCTTCAAATCATAGGAAATCGAACCCGCATATTAGCGTGAGCTAATTCTTGATAACCATATGTACACAAACCATCCTGTAGATGCTTTAATATATTGTCTATATGTATGTACAAAATAACCTACGAGCTAAGCTATTGCTTTAATAAATACATTTTCCCGACATCAATGAATGCTCTTCACGAAAAGCGTTATAGAAGGTGTCAGTTTTACAGGGCCCTGGTGGCTTTGCTTGACTGACCACAGAAAGGCTTCATGAGATGAGATTTTGTGACGCACGTAACGGTGACTGGGCCTGTCAAGAAGCGTGTATGAAGCTATGGTGTTGGCACCTGCTGGTATACTATATAATCTATCACCTAACTGCAATTTATTATTTCGATATCATCCTGGAGCTCCTCTGAATTAGGAACGAAGCCAACGCACACTGTAGTGTCGAGATCGAGTACTAAACTGAGAAGATACGTAAATTAGATAATTTTCTCAACATTTGAAGTCAAAACGCTCAATGCTTTGCTACTTGTAATGTAATAGTTTGGCCGAATGCATTTTATCACAGAGGGTGCATGTGCTCATGTTGTTCTCATCATTTATTCATGCCGTTGTGGAGATCTCTTTTCCCTTTTCATTCTTCTACCTCTTATACAAAGCGATTGTCGCAGGCTTCTTCTTAGTGAACATCGTCAGTCAGTGGCATGGATACATGAAATACTCTCGACCACAAAGCTTAGACAATGCTTTGGAACTTTTACCTACCGTTTCTTGCACATACTTTATAATCGGTAATTTTTTCCTACAATTCGCTTTCGTGCAAGGTTATGAAAACTTATAAATTGCATCGTTTTTACAGACATCAATTGTTCGCACTGAAACAAGACACTGGTACCGTCGTCACTATCCTTGAAGCACTTTGGAAGTGTCCAACTTGGTCATTGAAGAAGGTATTGCTGGCGAGTGGGAGCACAGCCATAATACTCTTTATATATACACTCACAGTAGCACTATGAGAAAAGTAGCTCGGGCGGCATGTCTATTCCACCTCAACGTTGAAATAGCCCAAACACTGCGGCTGCACACTAGAAGTTTTTCCGCACAACACCACTTCAATGTATGGCGCTTGCTCTTGAGGAAGACGATGGTGTCACTGCAGGAATGTTCAGTGAGCCTTGAAAAGGAGACAACGCTTGCGGTGCATCTGTGATCCGAAGCGTCGGGAGCAGGATGTCTCATAAGTCAATCAGAACCATGTTCATGTGAAACACGTGCGTATGCTTGAGCTCCAAAAGTTGCAAACGTCTGGTGACGTCACGTGCACCCCAGCTTCACAGAGGATGTGTCGCAGAGGATGTTGACCTAGAAGTACACTGTTAGTTCGTTGTGGTCAGTAGAGAGGCTGGAAGTCGTGAGTGGTGTTACACTGAAATCCGGATCCAGGGCCGTCTGAAAGAAATAAAAACTATGCATTATCACCGTTATCATCTATATATCAGATGCGTTCACTCATTTCATTGCTTCCGACTTAGGGAATGTTAAATTAAACTTATAACATTGCAAGTTGTGACATCATAGGCATCACTATTTCTCACGCTATAATCACGTCAGTCATGTCATGACGCACGCTGTATTCCAATTTTACACGCGCTGCAAAACATCCAAGCGTAAATTAGTCATAATTGACAGTGGCGAATTTCGCTACATCACAAATGTTCCAGAAGGTACATTAAGGTGCGCTACACCTACTATTATTATCGTGGTGAAACGATGTGCATATACAAAGCTGATCTGTAGCTGACGTGTCCATCGTAGCTGCGACCAATTTCATGGACATTGTAGCACAGCAACCAGTGATAAGGTCCCAGTATTTATAATAGGAATGATATATTAGATGAAGGCTAATAAACAGAAATATGCAGACTGTACTGCACGACATACAGTGCTACAGCAGATGACCTCACAGAGCGGATCTTAGTCCCCATCACTGATGATGATTTGTGGGTTTTAACGTCCCAAAACCACCATACGATTATGAGAGACGCCGTAGTGGAGGACTCCGGAAATTTTGACCACCTGGGGTTCTTTAACGTGCACCCAAATCTGAGCACACGGGCCTACGACATTTCCGCCTCCATCGGAAATGCAGCCGCCGCCACCGGGATTCGAACCCGCGCCCTGCGGGTCAGCAGCCGAGTACCTTAGCCACTAGACCACCGCGGCGGGGCCCCCATCACTCAGTCAAGACGTTGAGTGAGGAGGAAATGTTAGGGCTGATGAGAGAAGAGCAATAAATTTTTCGTATCTTGATTGATGTGTTTACCCCAAATTACAGTGTTATTACCTTGGTCTTAATTAGAGCATAGTCACTCAAGTATATTAAATCAACTGCTTGAGGAAACCATCGAGCGTGTTAAATGCAGTACGCGCATTGGCAGTAGGCGTCTTTTCATATGCGCAGTAAAGCTCTTCGACACAATGATGAGTAGTGCGCATTCACTGCACTTCAAAGCTTATAACTAAAGGCTGCACTGCATTATTATCGTGTAAGCCTGGCAAAGGTTCACGTTATCGTTTCAGGCATCTACAATTGCACTTCTAGTGTTTCACCCGCTATGCGTAGCTTTGCCCATTAAGCTTAACTTCATGAACATTAGAAGTAATTGACTTGGGTATCGTAACAGTTCAAGATAACTATATGTTATCTATACAACATATTTTGTTGTCACTCGAAACTCTACATGTAGTCTCTGTTGGGAGAACTCACAGGAGTCTCTCATTATTTCGCCTGAGGTGACTAGAAAGGAAAATTATCTTGTTTTTCTTCGCACTCGATGTACTGATCTTTCCCCATCACCCCGAGGAAGCTTTCTGCACGTAACCCAGTCATGCATTGTCTCCAGGTTCGGGGGAATTTCAGGCCATCTGCTCCACACTGCTTTTTCGCTAGCTTTAAATTTGACTAAGCGACAATGCATGCCATGGCGTCATCACGTTACATCAAGATAGTGTCGCAGCGAAGACAAATTTTTGTGATCCGTCACATCATGATGATGTTATGTGGTGACTTCGTCACGTGATGATGATTTGTTTCATCACTCGTAGCTACACCGCTAACGCAGTGAGTTTGAGGAGACGTGTGTGTTTGATGAGACATGTAAGGTTTTCACCCTAAATTGAACACTCTTTACCTGAAATCTTTGCTCTTCAGGTAGTCAACCACTAACAGCCTGAACAATAGTCAGACTTCGGTGGCTCGAAGACAGCTTTACGTAGGCATCTGTACAGTACGGACCACGTTTGGTCTTCGTGGATAGGAATTTCTTCCACAATGCACTCAACATGGACACCATCTGGCGTTTCCACCGCCGACAATCACTGTGCCGTGATACGCAATGCGCATGCCGACATGGCTGCTCGATCAGCTCTTCAAGGGCGCGCGGCTGGTGGTCGAGACAATACCCCTATCGAGGAGCCATGATGCTGGCCTACTTCGAGTAGCTCGTCCAAGAAGTCACCTTTTCCAGTAGTGATACAGCAAGTAGACTGCGTAACCGAAAACCACCGCTGCCCACCGAACACTTTACGTCTACAGATACCAACTGCACTTGCCGAAATAATGTTACTCTGCTTTGCCGCTTATGGCTGAGAGTGGCTTTCACGAAGTGATTCTCCTGCTGAATCAAAATGGCTGACAACCATTTTTGTGACAAAGGTGGGAGTGAGAAGACGTTACAGGGCATTTTTTTTTGTGAGGTTTCTCTCCACAATGCGCCGAAAACATCTCAAGCAGCCGCTCTAGCTGGCATACATTAGCGACAGATGAAGGCAGAAGCTGTTCAGCAATGTTGACCTGAGAGGTCATCGCGGGTGAAGGTCATGAAGGCAGTGCTAAACATCTTGAAGACAACCGACTCGCACCAGTAGTCATAGACTTATGGAGTTATGATGGCTGTGAAGTGCAACTTTGCATGTGCCTGTTCTCTCACTCACTCATTGCTATTTCTCAATCTTGAAAACTCTATCACCCCTTTCCCTGAGTAGAGTATAGTATACCAGTCCTTCTAGACTGGTTAACATCCCGTCTTTCTTTCCCTCCTCTTGCTTCCTTGCCCGGCATGCATGAATGCTAACGATAAGAGCCAAGATGCATTTAGCTGTTTTGAACAAAAAAATATTGTCACAAGCCTCTTGTGTCACATGAGTATCAGAAGCTTGTAGATCTTTACCTTGTTAGGCTGGTCATCCTCCCAGTTCAGGTTCTTCCAATCCATAGGAATGGATGCAACGGGCCACTGGATGTTTAGCAGCTTTCCATTGCCTCTTAGTAACGGGCCATCCGATGAAGTGATCGTCCCATTGCGAAGCGGCTCCAGCCTGCCATCGGATAGCCCCATACCATTCGGTAGGTGTCCGTTACTGTTGTTTATGCTACCGTTTCGCAAAGAGGCTGCCGGACTGTCGGGGAGCGTCTCTCGCTCACTCATGTCCTCGATAGCGTCATCCAGCTTAGCGTCAGACAGACTAAAGATGGGGTTTTCGACGCCCGCAAGTGGCCTCGGTCGGATTGATAAGCCTGCTGGGTACACTTCGGGGGGCTTTGAATTGTCGCCACCTGCATTCAGAAACTGCGTTAACGAATGCACGACTCTTACGTTTTGCCATTATTTTGGTTACATAGTTATGTGAGAAGAAAAGGAACAATTTTGGGCAGACATTGCTTTAATTATCATCGAAGAAAAAAATGGCAAGCAAGCTCAACTCAAACTATATGGAGCTCTTTGGATAGGACTGTGCCACTTAGAACTGCCTCTTCTCCTGGTAAATATCTCTGTCCATTTTTCTTCTGTACGAAAGCTTGTATCAAGCGTTAAGCTACAATTATTGATTGTGTACTTCTGTAGCTGAGTTTATCGTGCCTATTGCAGGCGTCCTATTGCCTGAAGAGTAGGATTTTAGCGCCTGTTTGAGGCAAATTTACACATATTTCTAGTGTCAAAATATTTATTCACTATGCATTTAGTTCACGATTAGCACGGTTCCAAGTATAGCATACTCTAACAGCCAAAGAGCTTTTGTACACTCAGAGAAATGCAATAGCTGTCACGGCATGACATGCATGGTTCTTTTATAATTGCTAGTAGTTAGTTTCATTGATATCCTAAAGTTTACGCTTTGTACCTTCTTATCCTTTCTAACAAACCATATATTGTATTGTCGTAGGCTCAATAAAGCACTGCTTTGGACTGGCCAGTACAAGCTTCATATATATGTTGCAGAAAATCATGCTACATAGATATAACAAAGGGCACACTCATGAAAGCACAACAAGAGAGTCAGCTAGAACGTGTGGGCACTGTAGACATAAGATCAGATATTGTTATTCGTACCAAAAACCCTATCCATAAGTTTATGGTTTTTTTAGCTAATGATCGTCCTTTTACTTCCCCGTCATCTATGACATTGATAATATGTAGCAAAGTTCTCTCCAACACTGCACAAATGAAGGGCAAGACATCGGACTAACAATGCCAGCATAAATTGCTCGAACGTCTATAGTGCAAGTAAACTCCACGTGAGTGCCTGCTGAAAACAGTTAGAGCTTATATATATAACCTACATGTCTAAATTTAGTGGAAGTCCTTTTGTGATTTCACGTGTTCTCTAATTTGCTACCATGGCTTTGCAGTTGTTAAACTGTCAAGTATATCGGTGGTCACAACTGGTGTTGAAAATTTGCTATTTATTCTTCATCGAGCACAAAATCCGTGAAAGTGTGCTTCGAATCAAATAAAGCACAAAGAATTTTTTGTTGCCTTCGATCACGAAGCAAGCATCCTGACATAGATTTGTTTACGTATCGGAGTTCAGTATGCGTAAAACGAAACATCTGGTGGTGTTTGTCACATCGAGACCGTGCATAATCTGAGCCAGTTCATTTGCAGTTTTGTTGTCATACCTTATTCGGCGATGTATGGCCGTTGCCGGTGAAGGGGAGCGGCAGCCTGCTGCGGTACTTTTTGCTGAAAAATTGTTCAGAAAAGTTAGCAGTATTCACAAACCTCTCTAAATTGGTTATACACAGGGCGACCTGAAGAGGGAGTAATACAGTGATCAGCACCCGTAGTAATGTTTGAAAACAGTAGCATATTGAAGAATATGACAAAGGGATTCCGCGACACGCATTGAAGGGGCCCTGTGACAATTTCGACCACGGTAAGCAAACTTGGCTGATCGGTAGTTGAGGCTGCCGAGAACACGCGGCCTGGAATCCACAACACCTTCTCAAAGCCAGCTAAAAATGGCCTTCTCTTTTATCAACTAGGGATGCTACAGGCTCGAAAATCACTAATCACGGCCATTCTATTAGCTATTGTCAGATAAGGCCATGGCGCAACTCGGTTGTTACTAGGGCTACCGCGGGAGGCCGCGGCTTGTGCAAGAGTGCGCCCGCAATCACACTGAGAAGGCGAGCATTAAAAAAAAAAAAGTGCTCAAAATCACGTGGCACATGTGACGCCTTTTTTTTCTGTCTACCGCTCTTCCTCATTTATTTTACAGCGCTTTCGTTGGGACGAGGGAAGAGAAAATGCAATTGCAGCATGCGACAAATCTTTGCAACTCCACTTGTGCTGAACGGATTTTAAAAATTTTCACGGCGATGAATTCGTGGAGTAAGAATTTCCTGTAGTAAATCCAATCAATGGTTAGTTCTTAAAGTGGTGCAATGCCTGTTTAAAGGATGTCGTCTTATTGCTTGTTTTGGTACTGTGAAGACTTAACGGCCGCAGCACCAGTACAAGCTATCAATCGCAAGTTATTTATAATTTTATTCGTACCAAAATACCATATTGCCTGAACTCACTACACCTAATATTGTTTTGCGGCATATGAAGAGTTGTTTCGCTATGTGACAGTGGTGGTTGCGCATTCTGAATCACCGATATGCGGCAATTAGCAGTGCGAAATTCGTACGGTCATATGTAAGCACGTTAGTGTGCGTTGAAAAATATGCAACGTGATTTTTGCTTCATCGGATACAAAATATTTATCTTGTAGAGGTCAGGTTCTGAAAACAAGTGCAACTAGACACAAGCTGTCACACGGGTATGCTGGTAATAGGCATCATGAGACGATACTTTCTGTACATTTCTATAAAAGCGTCGCACTGATTATTACAACCCGCGATGTTACCAAGAGAGCGAAATGCGAAAGAAAATGTTCTTTCGTGCGTGAGTGGGCATTGAAACGTGAACGAGAATTGCTGCAGTTGTCACGCACCATTTATTTATAATTGTTCCTTACGTTCACACGAGTATTCCAGAAGGCAGCAACAAATAAAGATGCCGGGCCCCTTTCAGCGATTGTTTGTCATAGTGACAGAGCAGTGCCAGAGTCATGCGGCACTAAGTGAAGTTAGCTCACAAGAAATGTTACGCTGCGTACTTTTTTGCCTCTTACATGCGTTCTTAGCAATCCTTCTGAAAAGGCCCTACAACACTTTTCTGAAAAATTCTTGAATGAACTCGTCATCGGAGTCCATTATTGACTCGCGAATAGATTGCCACAAAGCTTTCTCGAATCCGTCTCTTATAGTACCAGACGAGTTGCAGTAACGATTCGTATGCTTTAGGCGCTTTTCGTCTGTCTCCTCGTCGCAATGAGAGCTCTGAGAACTGCACAGGGGTGTATGAAAGAGAGCCAAGGAGCCTCGGCACCATGCGTCATGACCTGGACAACATTATATTCTTTTATCTGGCTTCCGGTTTCATCGCGATCGTGCTATTGTAATCCTAGAGTTTGTGGTTTTGGCGGGGTGCGACTATAAGGCTGCACACCATGGTTGTACCATGCCGGCTGCGGTATGCAGCAGAAGACACGACCGGTCTAGAAGAAAGACGCGTGCATTAGCATGTCATGTCTGCTCACTACCACGGCTCTTCGAACGAATGCCCACGACCGTGTCCTGCCGCCTATTTCATCAATGGGCAGCTTTTCTGGAAACATTGAGCGATGTTTAACTCAATTTGAAACGTAACTTCAATACTCTACCCCATGTCGTACTATAATGTTTGATTCACATAGCCACAGAACTTTCGACTACCATTTGGTATCTCTTTCTGACTACGTTCAAAAAGTGCTGCAGGACCCTTTTAATGAACATTATACGTGTAGCAGCTCAACAATTCAAGCGTGACGAACGTGACTAGGCTCAAAAGTAGAAATCAATTTGTTCCCGCGCGTGCTGTTAAGGGAAGACGTAAACAAAAGAATGACCCAGGTGTAGCACATATGTCCGTTGCGTTTAGTTCTTTCATTTGCTGACCACACTCTTGAGCTCGCTGGTTTCAAAGATACGATGCTCATTTTCTCGTCTAACTGAAAGCGCACTTAACCTTATTATGCACACATGTATACCCAAAGCGCACATAAGAAGCGCACCTGACTCCATACCATGAATTCCCCAGCATTCGCTTACTAATTCCTTTTTTCTATAACGCTAAGGCTTTATCGTAAATAGTCAACAAGATAAAGCCACAGAGAATAAATACTAGGTCTACCACGAGGCGTGGAAGGAACTCTGCCTAAAATCTTCCGCAACACATAGGGCGCTTGTACAACATGGCAACAACGGACTAGGCATGGTAGACACCTAACCAGATTCTTCTTTTGAGGGGAGGGGAGGGAGAGGCGCATTGAACCATACTTTATGCTCCTTCGTACCCGCTTTCGTATGCATGCGTGCATATGCACACATTCAATACTGAGATATTTAGGGGAGACAACTGAAATTCCCCCAATCTCCCCTCCCCTTAGGCTTACAGCACCACTTGGCTTACAGTTTGCTGTAAAATTTCCGTGCTTAAGTTAAATGTGTGGTAGCTACAACAAAACATTCAGAAATATTTATTGATAAGCTAGCTAGATTTAATTGATACCTGATTCTCCTTATACCAAAGCAGACCTAACATTTGTTTGATGGCTGGGAGCAATGAGGATACATCAAGTGAGTTGGAGTAATAGTGATTGATCCATGTGCATCTACACGCCTACACAAAAAGGATGTAATTCGCCCAAAGCTTGAGTACGCGTCCGCTATATGGGATCCCGTGCAGCAAAATTTAATTAACGCGTTAGAATCTGTTCAGAACCGCTCAGTTCGGTTCATTTGTTCTAATTATTCCCGTACTGCTAGCATATCAGAAATGAAATCTAACCTTGACCTACCCAATTTAACTGTCCGGAGGAAACTGGCGCGACTGCATTTTTTTCTTAAGATATTTTTTCACAATCCATCAATGAAGCGAGACCTCATTTCACAACCGTCACACCACTCATCGCGCATTGATCATCAGCATAAGGTTGCCATTCCGTTTTGCCGCACCAAATTCTTTTCAGCAGCCTTCTTACCGAAAACAGCCGCCGATTGGAACCACCTTCCCTCTTCCGTTGTATCAATAACAGACCCTTTGTTATTCAAGACTGCAATTTCTCAGCAATGCTTGTAACTATACGCAGTTTCCATTATCTATCTTTGTCTTGTATGTGCTTGAATTCTTATACTATATCGTGACTATAATTGAAACCCATAAATAATTACAAAGATACACTAAATTATTATCCGCCACGCATCAAAATTTCATGTAGACAGGCATGTACAAATCGTTTATCCATAATAGTTTTTACGTCTGATAAGTGTGCCGGCAAAGAAAGACCTACTTATACGGATCTTCTCTGTAGATGATAATGAACCCACTCAAAGCATTCACACCAGCCCTCAAGGTAAGTCTGACATGGGAATACTTATATGAACGGATGCATCGATGGCTGAAATCGTCGACACTACATTTCTTTTCATTTCCGGTGGCATGGCTCCTTGTTAACAATAATGTTTCGATGTGTAAATCATTGTATAGGTTGAAGTAAGCGTTTCCGAGTTGGGTTACTACTAGGCTTGTGTGAATAAGGAATTTTAGGCTTGAAGGGAATTCCAAGCAAATAGTGATGGTTCAAACAATTTGAATTCGAATAGCTGGTATATCAAATATTACAAAAATTGCGCCTATTTTTCTTGACCCAGCTATCTTACAAAATATTTTTTTTTAATCGAAAAGGCTCTGCGCGAATGCCATTCTATTTGGTTCAAATGAAGTGGTAACAACTTTGAATATTAGCAGAGTTTTTACTTTCTAGAATGCAAGTGATAAAATGTAAATTATATTAGTTTTATAATTTACTATTGACTCATATATAAGCTGCTATAAGCTAATATAATGTACACAATATATAGGCCAGTATAAGAAGCTTTCAAACTTTAAAAAATATGAATCATTGTGAGGGTAGTATGTTCATTTGACCTTGAAGTAAGGCTTTGCGGCAGAGCAGTTTTTTTATGAATAGGTGTTTTCACGGTTTTGATGTCCACTGGAGTAAAACCACTTTTACCAAAATTGCATATGGGTTATTCCGAATGAGCTCTAATACACAACTGAGTAAGTGTTTTCACGGTTTAACACTGCAATACTGCAGTGAAGCCACACTTGCAAAAGGTTACATGCGAACTATTATACATCGTTCATTTCGAATACTTATAAATTTTCCTATAACTTAAATTCAATTCCAAGTGAATAAATATATAGTAACAATCGTCCGAATATTCGTATAGGCCGAGTTACTAGGTCACCAGTTGTAGGCAATGCCTTCCAAAGTAGTGCAGCAGTAACATTAATGACATAGTGTAAAGCCTTTAGGGGTCTTACTTTTTGAGTAATGTACACTGTGAGCGTGATGATGACAAGCAGCAAGGATCCAAGAAGAGCGCCGAAGACGGTTATAATAACAAAACTGCCCTCGTCTTCTCTGGGAGCCAGGACACTGCTGCTAATTACCAGGGCCTCGGGAAACTGCACCTCGACCAGCGCCGTAGACTTCCGGGGTGGGACACCGCTGTCAGTCGCCACCACCACGAGGTGCATGCGCGATGAGTTCAGGTAGTCGAGGTCGCGGATACGCACCTGCGAAATTACGTGCAAGAAGTTCTGGTACGCCGAAAGTACAACCATTCGGCTATCGTTGTTTCCGTGAGTCTTATTACGTAGACAGCGTTCCATCTATGATTACTTTTGATGCAGTCGTACTTTTTCACGCTACAGTGAAATGAATGTTTCAAACAAAAAAAAACAAGTATAGCGTGCAAGGGCACCAATATCCATCATACCCTGAAACGTACATTATCTCCACCTATGTGGAAGGCATAAAAGGACTCAATCAGAGCGCACAAAGGTGCCACGTATTACATCGAGCCTCAGAAATAGCAACTGTTGGGAGTTTACACCCTCTAACTACAATATTACCATGAAAAGCGACCTAGCAGAGGTTTCCGGAAATCGGGACCACCTATAGGGTTCATAACATGCACGTAAATGTATGTACAATGGTCTCAAGTGTTTTGCTTATGGAAGTACATCCACGCGGCCGGGATTTTATACCACGACTTCTGGGTCATCATCGGAGTACCATGATCACTAGAACATCATGGTAGAGTAGTTCTCGTAAAAAACAGTGATGTCAAGAATGGGATCGAATCGCGTAGCGAGAAACATGGTTGAACAGTGCAGTTGGCTCTGTGTCAGCAGGACACATAAATCACACCTGTTTAAGATCCCCCCTGTTATTGTGACCGCTGAATCATACTTCACCCTGTTGAACTGTTTATTAGATACTGATAATAATATTGTTACGGGAAGGATTTATTTAGGGGTCGTCTGTCAGGATATGGTCAAGATTATCGATCAAGATGATCAGACTACACACGGAATACTAGTGGACGGGGCAATAACGACTCAGCCTCACAACTATGTCGCCATCCTTGTTCATTCAGCGCCAAATCGTTGACTCTGCCGGAGTGGCGTTTTCATACCCGCGACCATATTTCTTAAAATAACTGTTGATATTTAACGCCTCAAAATAATAATATGCTTACAAGGCATACCGTAGTGATAGGATTCAGAAATTTCGACCACCTGGGGTTCTCAAACACGCACCTAAATCGAGTAAAAAAGAGCCTCAAGCACTTCCACCTCCTTTGAAAGTATGACCGCCGCAGCCGTGAGTCGAACTTTTGGCCTTCAGGTCAGCAGCAGGGTACAATATTCACTACACCAACGCAGCGAGTTATTTGGATTATGTTATAGGCTAGGTTGCCGCTGCAATGGCAAGCTCATGCACTTGCAATGGCCAGAGTGAAACTGTCGGAGTCTGTGTAGTCTACCACATAGCTTGTTTGTTTGTTTGGTTGTTTGTTTGGTTGGCAATCGGCTAGCCCTGAGTGTCATTTAGGACGCTGGGCTCCGTGGCAACTATACAACATTCATAACCTACGCATAACAAAATAGTACATCTCCCAGTGCTGCAATGCCGAATATGCTAATATCCAGGAAAACACATGCAGATGGACAATATGCCAAATGCTGGGGGAAGTCCTACCGATACGGTGTTGAAGGAAATGATTTGGAGAGCCATCAATGCACCGTAAACCAAGCAGTTGCATTGTACGCTTTGTAGCTGGCCGATCATGTTTTCTAGCATGCACCTTCAGGTTTTTGTTTTGTTTGTTTTTTTATGTTTAGGAACGCAAGTACAATCAACATTAATATTTAGTATTTGTAAAATTAGAGAATAAGCCAGTTTCAAAATACACTAACCGTCAAGACACTGGCGCACTAACATATACCTGCCCTTCTCTCGGCTCGACAATTTTTCATCACTTGAAGCCCGTAGCCGTCTGTATTTTTTTTTTTTTTTGGTTACGCATATTCTTGAGTTTCCCGCAACGTGTTATATTATTCCGTCTATTTGTTTTATTTGTTTTTTTACTTCACTACTTACCTCTCCCTGGTTGTCAATAGTGAATAGGCGCGCCGAAGGTCCATCGATGGCTAGCTGCACAGAGTCACCGGCGTCCGCGTCCGATGCCTGAACTTGACCCACAAGAGAACCCTGGCGCACGGTGTCCGGCTCGGTGAGCACGAACGAGTACCGTGGCTGACTGAACTGTGGGTCGTTGTCGTTCACAGTTCAGTACGCTGACGTTGACCCGGGCTATGTCGCTGTGCTTGCCGTCAGATGCGCGAAGCTGCGAACACAAAATATAACACATTTTTCACACAATGTAGGCTTATACCTGTTTATGCACCTATGGCATGTATCATGCTTAACGTCTATACTGTACACTCAACTCTAGAAAGGCCTTGTTTTGTAAGAACGCTTCCGATGCAAGGAGTTTTTACGGTGTTCTTTGACACCTGCCAGTACTAGAATCCCTAAAGATCGTAACATGCCTGGCACCTTTGAATGCAGGATTATCCAACATAGCCGACCGAAAGCTCTTTAGCAGAAGTGTTGTTGTGAAGAGCAGGCATCGTTGACAGTTTAGGTTGTTCCCTAATTCACAACTATATATTGCAACACGCTATCATAGCGGACACTATGATAGAGAAGAACTGTTCGCTACTGTGATAGACAAGTCTGAGGTCTATATAGCTCTATTTGGTTCGCCAACCACGAATTCTATTCAGAGACGTCACCACTTCCCACAGCCAATAACTAACTATTACTCAATGAAAGCCTCTAATGTTGATGGAGTGATAGTTCAGCTACCATAGGTAAAGTGTCGCTAAGACCAAGTTTTATACCCAGTAGCGGCTGTGAACAAACTTGTTTTAGTGGCCCTCTAGACTGATCTCTATGTCGGAAGATATACCATGTAGAACGGCATTTCTCGTCATCACAAAGCAACAACTACTCTTGCAAGGTAGCTTGCGGAGAACAACATTTCAAGTTTACTGCCATACAGTGGCAAAGACATCTCTTAAGAGGCAACCATTCCTGGATTAGCTGGTATGCATTAACAAACTAGTGCTATGCGATGCCTTTATGTTATCAAGAGCATCGAATTCTGTTGCGTTCAATTATGATAAAACACTGCCACGCGAGATACCTATTGTGCATTGATTAGAACAACTTTGGCAATTATTCAATGGATACTTTTTGAGATATGACTTTATTATATCTGAATAAATAATGCGCACTCTATGCAAAGTTTTACAGCCATGAACATATTTCCAGAGGACAATACTTGTTTGGTGTAAGCCCATAATTACTCTCTACTTATATTTAAAGCACTTTTTAAGCTGTATGGTAACGCTTAGCAAATTTTACCTTAATGTGTCAGTGAAGCTATGGAATATACGAAGCTGTTTTACCAAATTTCTTCACATTTCGTGTTATAATAAGTATATTCGTAATAAAAATGTCCGTCCTTTCGACAAAGCCATTCGTATACGAAGCTGTTTTACCAAATTTCTTCGTATTTCGTGTTATAATAAGTATATTCGTAATAAAATTGTCCGTCCTTTCGACAAAGCCATTCCTCGAGGCGAAATGGTCTGTCACTATTATCTGGACAATACGTGCTAAGAATAGCACGTTACAAGGATACAAGACCGTATAACTTTTTATAAAAAGACTCAAGTACCACAAGATTTTTATTGCTATCACGTATAATTCCTAAAAAATGAGTTGCGTGTAAAAGAAAGGAAAATATAATCTCAGCAAGCTGTCTTTAGAAAACTGTAACATTGGATAGGATATGCCAACACCGATCAGTATCAATAATGGCACAAATGGTTATTTTTCGTAAATGCTCACAAATTTCAATTTGGGTGCTTTAACATAATCACCCCAAGCCCGATACAGTCCATCTATAAAAACCTCCGAAGCTTCCGCCATAGCAATGTCTTGAAAGTTTTTCCAAGTATGATTTCTCAAACTTTTTGCTCAAATTTGCACGTACAAAACTGCTTAATCACAAGCCACCACCACTGCCTCGTCGGCCATCTCGCTGGCTCTAACCAGTGGTGTTGCGAGTCGATGCGTTTGCTACAACAATGAATTTTGAAATTGAGCTTTGCTGGAGTGCTCAGTGGCTGTGTTGTGAAGCAAACATAAATTAGGAGGCATGCGCATGGTTTCCAATAAACAGAAGGCTACAAAACAAGACCTACTCTATCAGGGCGTAGTCATACCCGGTCGGGTTCAGGACTAGCATGCCAGAATTTTCTGTTTAATATTTTTTCAAGAATATCTCGTTCCATGGCACCTTGTTCCAGCCACCGTACATTGTTATTGCCGATATAATGAGCCATACTAGTGTTGTAAGTTGGTTATTTCATCTTAAAAGACATGTAAAAGTAGATGGCGCCACAGCATCTAATTGTGAATACCGGGACATTGTGAAAACTGGGGTCATTACAGGTGGGTTCGACTGTATGTATTTAGTTACACCACTCGTAGTGGTTCTTGCTTGATTGCGCAGCCGATAGCTTCAACGGGGAATCGGGTCAAACTGACGTCGTCAATTCTTTATTTTGCATGAAAAATATGGAATAAAGTTCCTTATTGTTAGTTGCATACCAAGAACAGAACTATTAGTGTCCTATATTAGTGCAGGCATGTCTGTCCACGAAGTGCAAACTTGCAACCCTGCTCAACCTACCTTTAGTGTATAAAACTGTTTCATTTCATAGTCCAGAGGCTTCGCAAGAATTAAATCTCCTGAGGTGTGGATGGCGAATGCTGCTGCGTCGTCATTGCCTTCGTCCATGAGTTCGAAGTGGGCGCCTCCTTTGTCGGAACCGCTCCGCGTCGTCCGCACCGTCAACAGCGTCTGTCCAGGGGGAGTGCTCTCTAGTACACGAACCTCGTACTCGTCCTGCAGTGTCAGTAGGACAAACGGTAAAGGAAGTTCATAGCCTGACAAGCATATGTGGTTGCAAGGTAGTAGGTGTCAGAAACGAGGGACCTTACACAGGTTCAGTCTTTGTGTTGTGAGATCAGCGACTATATACACTTAATAGTGCACGTCTAAGGATGACGCTTTGTTGCGTGCTGCATAGGCTTTGAAAGGGTTATTCATGTGACACGCATCGAATCCAATTCACCTCCACCATCGCATTACCTGTCAATATCAAGCGCTACTTTAACAGTCACCCCTGGTTTTCCAGAAGTATCTTGTGTTTCACATAGCTGTCGAATGTTGCAGCTTGACACGTATACATCCATTGTAAAGCAGAATACTGCACTTTAAATCAAGACTCTGCAAAGACTACTGTTTCATTGAACCTTCAGCAGGATTAAACCTTTCACTGACTCATAAGTTTTAATGTGTGAAAAGCATGTAGACAAGCCTGATCCTGGTCACAAAGGGCTTAAATGTACATTATGTTTCTTATACCATGCTGCTACGTCACTAACGGCTCACGTATTTTAAGAAGAGAGTACCACGCAGGGATAGATGATGTGTGGTACTGAAGGCGTAAAATTAAGTTCAGCTGTTTTCAGTGCCTTTATGAGCGCACTACTGCAGAGGAGCAGGTGTATAGCGCAAAAGGAAATGCATCATAAGCAGAAATCATAAGAAAAAACAACAGAAAATAAATAAGAGAAAAAAGCTGCTCTCTCTTTTTTTTTTGTGGCATCTTAGAATATTTTTTTTTTCAGAATGCGCTGCTCCATCACCTTGTTATGTGCACTGCCATTTTTTCGTTACAAAAAGATTTCGTGGCCTTCGACTAAGTGAGTATTCACCATTTTTATCATCATTATCACAAGTTTATTTCATGCCTATTGCTCTCGTCGAATAAAACGTAACGTGTCTAATTTTCCGTTCTATCACACATTGCTTAAACACCTTGGATTGCTCTAATACTTTCTAAGCTTTCGCCGCACATCAAGTATTACCAAAATGCAATGATTGCACAATTTTTGCTATAGAGACAGCTTTAAGACACCAGCCATGATCTGGGATTGCCTGTCATATGCGTTCCGGCCAATCCTTATTCTCCGAAAGATTTCATTACCATTAGCAGGCTCTTGCGTTAGTAATTTACCCATCTATATGTACGCTTTAGTCTGGTTGCCAATCTGGAATTATTTGCTCACCAGAATTAACAGCATAAGTTTCTACAGGTGAAGCTCCTAAATGCGTGGGTCTGTCCATCCCTTACGTGACCGCTTGGAGTTCCACCTTTGTAAACAGCCCACTACTTCATCCTCGCAAACTTCCCACTACGCCCCATCGCCGATCAACCAATTCACCGACCATAAAGCCGTTATAATGAAAGCGGAATAGAAGTGACGTATAGCTACCACTTACGAACAATAAAATTCCTTGTATAAATATATACAGTGTATAACACGTGTTTAATGATGTAGTGGGCGATATTCGTGGATGGTTCACTGTTTAGCAATGAAACCCTCTAGCACTTCGCCCCACTCATCATCATTCACTCCATAGATATGCTGTGATTTTTTTGCATATTTACATCCGGGACTACTTTCGCACTTTCTCGGTTATTGTCTTCACATGTGGATCACAATATTCGTAGAAGACATTCTTCTCTGAATACCGTGTTTCGAAAGTGTGCACGTTCAATAAACTTGAGTTTTACCTGTCCTCGAACTAGCTATTTCAATATTCGTAAGCATAACAACGTTTGATAGATCACAACTTTCTCAATCGTAACTTCTTTTTTATAGTTGAAATACACGGTAATTGTGAAGGCTTTGTACACGTTCTTCATGCGCTCCACAAATGTGTAAGGCACATCTAGGCAGCACAATGCCTCCAAGGCTACGGCTATGTTCGTTGTGTGGAATGCATTGTGACAAACTTTGAAAGTCAGTTGAAGAGATTTTTTTCTAGCCAGTAGATATCTAAATTATTTCATCGATCACACACCTATTATCTATTATATAGAGCGTCAAGCACGCGAAGGCTGCTTGCTTTCCGATTTACACTGAAGCCAGGTATATATTTCACCTTATTTAAGTTTGCTCTCAAGGTTAATATCATATCCCCGCCGCTGTGGTCTAGTGGCTAAGGTACTCGGCTGCTAACCCACAGGTTGCGGGATCGAATCCCAGCTGCCGCGGCTGCCTTTCCGATGGAGGCGGAAATGATGTAGGCCCGTGTGCTCATATTTGATTGTACGTTAAAGAACCCTAGGTGGTCGAAATTTTCGGAGCCCTCCACTACGGCGTGTCTCATAATCATATGGTGATTTTGTGATGTTAAACCCCACATATTATCATCTAGGTTAATATCATATTACCTAATGTCAGGATATGAAGCTATAAAATCTAAATCACTAAGCTTTTTACCTGTGCATTTTCTGCTTCAATCTATCGTAGGCATTTGCTTTAGCTGACGCATCCAGTTATGGTTTTAAGACATTGTGTATAGAGTGTGGTAAGCGTCTTGATATTCTCTCCACTCCTGATAATGTCCACAGACAAACCACGTTCTACGATAAGTTCTCCGGGCATACAAAAGACACAACAAGGTCAACACATTAGTGTGCACATGCCTCCTATCGCACTAGTACCAAAGTAGCGTTGGTTGGAATTGCTTACATATAGCTCGTAGATGGCCCATATACGTTTTTTAGCGCTTGCTTCGACGCATTTATTGCTTGAATGACATTTCGCGATGCTAGTGAATGTAGCAATTTGTTATATCTGAACACTTCATACGCGGTTTACTGGTCGGGCCCCTTGTCGTTCTTTTTAGGCGGCGCTATGTCATGTCAGCTTTTTTGTGCTATACAACATATGATCATGTATGTGTATTACCACATATGGCTACACAGGCATGCAGACATGTATATGTGTCTTCTTACGTAAACACAAGGGGGCACTCTCTGTAAGAATAAGTGAACAACATATGTTGAGGCATTTTTCTTGAATTTCATGAGTGCGCACTAAAGAAAAAAAAACGATGAAACAAGGGTTCCGAATGATACATGCTGTTTTAACTCTCATAAAGCCGAAAAGAAGTATGAGTTGAATTGATGGATAAACGCTGCACAGGCTTCTGTCGCGTGCAATTTGTATGAAATAGTAAAGCGCTCGTAACAAAAAAGAAACAAAGGAAATGTACCCGATATATGGTAATGACTAGGACAGCAAATGCAACCAAGGACCGACAGTTCCACCACTAGTACACACATATACACAATCTTGTGCAGGATATTGGCATGCAATAAACCTTCGAGAATTTTCAGAGGTCTACCAGTTTATAAGCCTACAGCAGATTAGTGCTTACGCTCTTTTTTTTTCATTTCGAAACTGGATGTTTTCACATGAGGCCTGGTTTAGCACTTTTGTTTACTGTGGCACGTGCGTTACCTGTATGAAGTGCAACACATGAGGCGGGAACTTGTCGGCTGTGAGCGTGAGCGTGGTGAGCGCGAAGCGATCCGGGTTGTCGTGCTGCGTAGCTCGCACCACCAACGTCACCGGCAGCGCGAATCCTCGGGCAGAGGCCGTACCAGGGACACGTGGACCCGTCTGAGGGTGCAAGTCGAAGTAGGAGTACTCGTTGGCATCTAAAATTCGTAGAGAGGCAAAAATGAATGCAAGTCATTATGGGGAGGCCAGAAACATGACGTGGCACGGAGACAGACATTAAAAGACACAGGGCAAGCACGTTAACCAGAAATGCATTCGATGAGCTACGTTATGCCCTTCCCGAGTTAACAAGGGAATGGTAGCCTCAGAGAAGTGAGTGAACAAGTGATCTTCCAACAAAGTTCGGCACATGCTTTCTTCCTTGCAGTTTTCGTGATATACAACTTACTTCGAAACCCCATCATGCTTTATAAAACCATCTGTGTCTCCGCTTTGATTCTCTCTGCAAATTTATTTGGAGTTCAAAGAGTGCCTGCGAAGGAAGAGCTATTAGCGTCTAGCATGTACGTAGCGTGAGTGGTGTTAAGTGTGGAACAAAGCTGATATCTCATCATCGTCGCGATAACAATAATACGGTGAGCATTCGCCATCAGAAGTGTTAAAATCACGCTGATGGGACAGCGAATCATTTTCAGCATTCACGCCAGGGTTGTCAGTGGTTCTGTAGCCTGCCCGATGCACATCTGTGGCTTTGTGAGGGAGGTAGAGTTCAGGGGTTTCAGTCTTTTCACCACTGAAAGAGATAAGTTTCAGGAGGTGTGCGGTAAATCTTATATGCCTCTTGAACCTTATAACACCCGGTAATGTGGAGCATAGCTGTGAAGAATAATGATATGGGTGAATGTTAAAAGTAGTTGTAGGTCACTGTAATCTTCATTACCGGGCGTTGGAGAAGACTGAGGCACAAAAGAGGTAGTCACCTTATAGAAACACTGATATTTATTGCGCATGAAAGCAATAACTTTATAGCTGACGAAATATACAAAAATAAGTATGAGTAGATACACCAGAACAAAGTGACGGCAAAATAGGGAGATATATTTTAAAAAGAACAGAATGAAAATGAAAATAGGTCTTTTGCTAGAGTGTTCTAAACACTGAAAACTCTTATTACAGCACAATAGTTAAGTGTCCATTTTTCACTATAACATTTCTACCTGAATTCAATTTGCAATCTTGACCATATTTTCATGCTGACGTAGCCTTCTCCCATGCTTCAATCAGGCATACAAATAATAAAAGAAAGCCTTCGTGGCCCTTGGTCGCGCAAATGGTGTGGCGTATGTGTTCTCCAGTTCACGTTCATTATGAGATTACGGGTCATCAAAAACAAATACCCTTTAGTATATTAAGATCAACACAGAGTTGTTGTATATCCTAGCTGAAGGTAGCATTTACAGTACGAAGTACATAAAGTATACACAGATAGCAAACATGACGCACATTTGAGCAGTAAACTGCTGAAAACTACACAGCATTTCAATTTTTTTTTCTACCTGCGCAGCTGGAGATCCTTGTCGTCTGCGGTGAACCACAGACGGCTCACTACAGACGGCAAGAATTTCTGCCGTCGGTCCTTATTCTTAACAAAGATGAAGCATATGCTACCCTTTTCTTTTTTATTTTCTTTTCCTAAACTTACGGTATGAGTTTCACTGTACTGGTGGCGGTCAAGCTAACGATGATACATAGCATCACGTTTTCGTGAATAATCGCTACGTTCCACGCAGCTACATACTGTTGTTTGATTGTAGTGACCCGCTCAGAATACCTCTGTTACCAAAGAACGTATTTTATATTTTGTTTTAGAGTAGACAGCGATGGCGTGTGACAGGGGATTTGTGCAACCGAGCTTTGCAAGCCCATCATCCTGGTGGTGGCTCGTGCTCCCAATATTTCATTTTGTTGTGGGTTTGTGGCCAGAACAACTAAGCTGTAAGCCACGCAATCAATCACCGCTTTTATAATATCTATGAGGCCTCATTAACGCGAACACCTGTTACATCGCCTGTATTGTATAGTCAATGAAATCAGTAAGTCAGTCGTTGAAACCGCACCTGAGTTAAACGTGTACTTGATTGGAGCCTTGATCTCTTCGTCAGGATCTTCTGCTTCTATTTTGCTTGGCTTCACGTTCAGCGGTGTGCCCTGGAAGAAGAGGTTGTGGTTTACGATAGCAACTCTCAGGATATGCCATCTAGCTTTTCAGAGGCACAGCAAGAAGCTAATTTTATAGACACAACTCTAAAAAAGGAACTATATTCTCCCGTTGTATAATTCCTCTTGCCTACCACGTCATGTTATGACGTTGGGCCTTCCATCCCCTCACTGTCAGCTTTTCCGAAAAATCTTGATTCTACACTTCAAGTAAGCCGACTACTCGGCTGTTTTAGGCAGAGTGGTCATGTATTTTTACTGCTATCTTCAGTTCTCCGTACAGTTGGGCGTATACATATCTTTAAAGAAAGGCAATGGTTTTGTAGGCTCGCATAAAATGCTGATGTGGCTGAGTCAACCTTTGTTATTTGTCTTGCGTTTAGGTCCCTTCATCCTTACCTTCGTTTTTTAGTAGTAAATACACTTCGCGAGTCGATTCGGTGTGGCCGACATCAGTGACAACAATATAGAGTGCAACGCGAGCTTACCAGGCGAGTGTTGTTGCGCAACCGGACAAAGTAACTCTCCGCTCCGAACCTGGGGTTCTGGTCGTCGGCGTCATGCACCACCACCACCAGAGTTGTATGGGAGCTTTGCGGGGGGTTACCCTGGTCCTGTGCACAACGATATGAAATACTTGAAAAGTGTATAGCTACAGTCTTTTCCAAAAATCCTATTCATGTGCAGGCCTATCAAAAATTCTTTCGTATAAATTTATGCGTGGTCATTACGAGATTATAGTAAATATTACTTATGCATATTATGGTATTTTTCTGTAAGAAAAGCGTGGCTTTTCAAAAACACAATCTTTGAAAAACTTTCCGCTGCTATTCACACTTTTCTGGCGCATTTAGGAACTACACATATTGCGTCTGGTGTTCCTGCATTCGGGCTTTACTTCTATGCTTACGCAAAGTTTATAGAGACGAGTATGTTTGTCTATTTGGGAAGAGAGTGGAAATCATTTCCAGCGTTTATGCATTATCCATCGATGGAATTTCTCACAAAACAGCTGTCAATACTCCAATGGCGTCATCAAGACAATTCTCGATACCAGATAGTCCTCGTGGCTAACCTATTGCACCGGCAGTTTTTACAAGTCATGTGCTCCATCGGCAATATTTATTAGAAATTGCTTCGCTTCGTTCACACCATTTGCTCAAACAAATCAAAATCACCACGTTTTAAACTCGTGACGTATTTCCAATGTTGTAATATTTTCGTAACGCTGAGGCCATTCTTTGTGCTCGAAGTAATTCAGTTTAACAAAATGGCGTACGAGTGCTCACCTGGGCCCTTAGAGTAATTGTGAATTTGGGGAGTGACTCGTGGTCCAGCTTATCGATGAGCAGCAGTGTTCCTTCCCATTTATTCTCGAAGGCCAGCAGGTGCTGCGTGCGAAATAATAGACGATGTGCTTCAGGCAGCAGGGAAAACTGTGTTCGAGACATAAACAGCCAGCAAAGCACTACTCAAAACCTCGGATACGTGATTGCTGCGCTTTGCACGGCTTCTGTTACGAGAAGTAGGTACCCTTTGAAGTATATTCCATGATGTTTTTCATTGATTTATTGAAAATGTGCTTGGAATCATTAACGAGAGGGGTCACATGATAAATGACATTCGCACAAAAAATAAGCCACATTCAATAGCACATACGAGTAATAGATGAATAATGAGCACCAGAAAAATGAGAAACAAGCGACAGAGACTATAGCGATAAAAAAACCGGTGACTCAATGCTCGCACAAGATTTAGAGCACATCACCGCAGATAAAACTGTCTAACGCTTTTTGGAAATCGACTGAGGGTGCTTCTTGAACAACGACATGAGGTACACTATTCCAAATTTTTATAGCATCCGTAGAAAACAAGTGACTGAAAACATTCTTGCGTCTGCAATAGCTCTACTGTTATCATATGACCCCATCACCTTCCAGTGTCCCTAGCCTCAATATATAAATCCTTGCAATGTTAACCGAAACAGCATTTCATTTCGTCCCTTGCTTAACGCTAACTGTTGTGTCTGTTATACATACAGAAATATAGCATGTAGTTATGTGTCTTGGTGATATAAAATAGTGTCTGTCAGCGTTCTAGCTTCTATTACAACACCAAAGACACCTATCCGGCATGTCTTTAGATACAGTACGAGTGCGCAAGTATGAAAATATGAAGAATACATGCAATTTGAATATCAAATATGCCATCATCATAATCGCCATCAATATGTGATTATGTCCTTGTGTTATGACCCCAGAAGGAATCATTTCTCTCCGAATAATTTCTGCATTCCATCATGTACTACGCTGGCTAATTCAATTTCATGCCTCCAAGTTTGATCACTTTGGTGGTCTACCTTTGGCGTCTTTGGCCGCTGTGCCTTGTTAAAATATTGAAAAACGAGGAGCAAAAGTAGCTTTCAATGCAATTTCAGTATATATAATTAAATTAAAACCATTACGCTGCATAGCATTCAACACATTTTTGGTAATCTTCTAATAGGACAATGTCAAGCAAAAAAATTAATTTCACAGTTTTTCAACACTTGAACAACTGAAAGGAAACCACACTCTTCCTTGTTCAGTGTGATGCTCAGCACGTTGCCATTCCTGTTTTCAACCATGCAAACATTGGTTATGCAACATTCTTTGTGGTAATACAAATGCATATTTTTATGCACCTTGAAAAAGCAGCGTATGCTGTATATGAGACCTGCAGAATAAAGATTAGTGAAAATGAAACCGGCCCTGTCGGCTGGGCATGGAGAGATAAGGGTGAAGAGGAGCGCGAAGGTAATGAATGCTCAGTCATATAAAAGTGAGACATCAGGAATGGCTGGTCGCTGAACGTTGATATGCTGTAAACTCGAAGTACAATGAACCCTAGCCCTAGCGCATGTATATACTAGAAATGTTAGGCTTTAAGGATAAGAATGCGTAATCGTTATGCTTTCGAACATTCGCATTTCTCCGCATTTCGCTTTTTTAGCTACATAATTAGCCATGGATGGGTTCGTGGTAGAATACAAATATGTATTTTTGGAATCATGTTTACTTCAAGTAACGGAAATATTCTGTTCATATTTGAAATGGCCATTACCGGCGCACCCTTGTAAAAAATTAAAGTGGCGTTGTAGCAGGCAAGTTCATTACCTTGATTTGGTGACGATTTTATTACAGCGCATGCGACACCGCCATGGCCATTTCTTATTAAAAGTAAACTTCTGTAGCCGAGATTAAGGGTTGTCTGTATGGTTCAGTAGAACTAATTTTCCGAACTTAACGCACCATGTACACGGTTGTGCTAAAAATAGGCGGTTAAATTAGCAGCAAGCAGTCTTCGGGGCTTCAGCGCCACGTAGGAGAACACATTGATCGTTGAAGTCCTTTCTGTCTTTTTTTCAGGAACTTTCTCTGCTCACTAAGAAAGTATATTCATTTCAGAAATGCAATACCAACCAGCCCAAGTAGCCACATTTTTTTAACATAGTGAAGTAAACAGCCACATATTAGTACAGCCTCTGTCATCTTCTGCATCTTTTATTGTGGTGTACATCTCCTGACTTTACCGTAAATCAAGCAATGGCTCGAAGAGAGGATAAAAGACTGCACTAAACTAATCCGCGAGTGTTAGCTAGCTTATTTCTGTTTAGTGACAGCGACATCCAGAAAGTGCACATCACTGTAAAAAAAGTACCCGTCTCTTACGTTTCTCCAGTACAGTCAAAGCACTACAGCGTCAGCGGCTGCCAATGGAAGATTATTGACCGTAGGGCTAACGCAGGGGTCAGCCAAGAATTTCTTTTGTGAAATTTCCGACCCCCTTGAATAATGCGTGAGTACGTGTTTTTATTGTGTGCGTGTATGAGTGCGAGAATAAACAATCGCAAACACAAGCAAAGAAATACTTATCCTGATCTATCAGATATCTGCCTGGTGCCCGGATTTTCTGAAATATGAATGCTGTACAAGGCAACAGCGCTTAAGCATAACGTTGCAGTGACACATTCACGAGTACGCACACGTGCTCTGTAGAGAATGTGCGCCTATCTGTGTATGTATGCACATCAATAGACCAACGTGAAAGCTATTTCATCGATGTGCACCTGTGAGAGCTGGCAGCCAGCTTTTTCAAGTTTCATTGCATGGGAGAATAACATTCAAGCAGCTGCTGTCACTACGTCACGTCATTGATGCTAGTACTAAACCCATTATTATCTGAAGGGTTGAACAACGGAAACTTCGTGTGAGATAGATTGTGGCTTGAGATGACTAAACTGCACAAATTTTGGCTCAAATATGATGTGTTACGGCCAATTTTGGCCGATCTAGTCTCTGCTTAAAGAACGTCAACCTTGTCTTCATTGAATGGCAATCCAAATATGCTATTTCATGTGAGCATACAACAAGCTCGGTTGCTTGAGGACCAGTTTTCCTAGTTTTTATTTTTTCGTTCTGCATTCAGATTCACATGCGAAAATAGAAGGCGTTTGTACTGCACATAAACACTAAATATTGAATATGAAGCGGTGTGTGCAAACCGTCATTGTCATATGTCCTCAGGAATATCCAAAGTTCTCAAGCATACTTTATCTCTGCTGGCTTTCTCAACCTGTCCCTTTCTACCTTTACCCATTTACGGTTTAGTGAGGAAGCATAACATCGCCAGATAACTGTTTTGCTTCATGAAACTTTGCAATACTCATAAATGACATCGTTCCTGCATATTTCATCATGAAGTGCACGAAATAATAAAACCGGAGTATGCAATACAGACTACTCTCCCGTGCCGCCAGGGTCAATTGAATTGAGTGTGTGCGACGTACCGAGTGTGGTCCCTCGTCGACGTAGTACTCGACCGTGCTGAAAGGACCAGGCTGGTCCTTGTCCACGGCTCGAATGCCTTGCATAACCGTGGTACCAGGAACTGTGCTCTGCAGTGCGACAAAGACACAAAACTCATCTCGATTTCATAATTCAAAATAATACATCAACACAAAACCGCGTTACACCGATGAGGTATCATAACCTCACGCGAAGATTCTATTAGAGAAAAAAAAGCTTACAACCTCCCGTTTGTGACAACAATCAACACAAAAAAGTCATAGGGATTTCACAGGAAGAAAAGTCTCTTTGTTGCCAAAAACTTCATACCGACCAGGACGAATTTTTTGGCAACTGAGGGGCTCTTCTTTCTGTGAAATTCGTGCGCATTTCCTTGTGGCTTTTTGCCACAAACGGGTCGTTGTCTATTTTTCCTTTCCTAACAATTGCGCCTCTTTGTGGATCTATGCAGAATATGTTTTCAATAATCTCATTGTTCGCATTTACGCGACTTTAAATGCAGTTTAGTCAAGAAGGAAATAAACGTACCTTCTGCAAAAGGTATATAGTGTGTGTGAATGTGAACTAAAGCAAGAAGCACTGGACAAAAACACGTGAGAGTTTGTGTGTGTGTCCGTGTTCATTTTTCAGTCCGTTTCCACAGGCACTACCTTGTCCAGATTTAACTTCAAACTCGCCCTAGAAACGGCCCTCTTAAGATGCATAATTTTTTTCTATTTCTTAGTTATCCACGACCACCGCGTAATGGCACACGAAGCATCTTGCTTTGTGCTAAATGCTACCGTGTTCTCTAAACTATTGCGGATAGCAAAATTGGAGCACTCACCTCGCTTATATTGAGGAAGTAAGGTGTACCCTGGAATTCCGGAGCGTTGTCGTTGGCATCCGTAACTATTATTCGAACCGGAACAGTGATGCTCTGGGAAAAAAAAACAACAGACACGCGTCGGTAGTTATAGGAAATACATACTTCCTTTATAATATCTTACTTGGTCTTCAACAGCTCCTGCCAGCTTCGCTGATCTCCTCCCAGGCAAAACTACCCGATTACTTCAATGCATTCTAGCAATCTGCCGAGAGTGGTGTCGTTTAGAATGCACCATTTGTTGAGCGTATCCCTCCTATAAGTCGCGAGCATTATGCTTTCATAGAGATCTCCTCTCGAACGTTTCATTTATGAAGCCATCTAAAAAGGTCTTTAGATTTTACCTTTTTTTACCCTCACTGATATGCTCACACAGTGGTATTGACAAGCTTACTTGGAATGGCGGTATAAATGGTGTCGCCGTAAAACACTTTAATTTTATGAAAGCACTATCATAGGTGAACTGATTACGTGCAATGAGTGTGTACAAAAAATTTGAATTAAATAGGAAACCGACTGAATCGCAGATTTTAAGAGGCGATTTTTTTTGGCCCTCGTTGAGATTGCAATTAAACGAATGATTGGTGTGCACAGTAAGGACCATGTGTGAGGCAACCACAACAATGGAAGAATGCAGCACAGGTGGTCTAGAGGCACGCGCATTGAAAACGCTTATTTCGGCCATATACGCAGATGACAACATGGAGACGAAAGCATCGTCTTTTTTTTCTTTTTTCGAAGAAGTGGCGCACAGAAGGACACACACACACACACACACACACACACACACACACACACACACACACACACACACACACACACACACACACACACACACACACACACACACACACACACACACACACACACACACACACACACACACACACACACACACACACACACACACACACACACACACACACACACACACACACACACACACACACACACACACACACACACACACACACACACACACACACACACACACACACACACACAAAGCACAAAGACAATCACTGTACTGCAACTCATGATTTACGTTCGAAAAACCTGGCACACAAATAGAACGCACACATGGCCACTGACAGCAGTGAAGATGATGAAGATCAGAAAAAAAAACCAGAAACAAAAGCCCCATATTCACGTGGTGCTCACAACGTATTGGCGCGCTTTTTCAGAGAATGATACAGAAGAGCAACTGACACATTTATCATGCGACTTGTCAATATCAATTGCTTAGATTCTCTCGTTTCTTTCTGGCGTTCTTTGCTCACATCTCCGTACTTCTTAAAGGGAGAGCCCAGCCACAATTCCTACAATGTAAGGTCAAATGTGCGGCATCTTAGCCTGGTTAGTGCTGTGGTCTGTTAGTCATAGATGGCCACTTATTATACCAACTGTTTCTGAGCTTCCGATGCCAGCATAGTTTCACGTAGCATCACGAATGGCGAAGTTGCCGACGGTCACAAATGACGTGCGTGAGTTGCCAAGCAGGCGCGAGAGTGCGTTATTACGTCAAGGAAATAAAAGTCACCGATGGGCGATAACGACCCACGTGAGGTTACAAATCGACGCAGGACTGCTGTAGCACATCTGGCTAACAAAAATTAAAAAAATGGCAGCATATCCACGGTGTGAAAGATGGATAGTGGGGCAAAGCATCCGTGCGTCCATTCGTTCTTGCTTCCGTCCATCCATGCGTGCGTCTGTGTGGCCGCCCGTGCGTCCATCCGCCCGTCCGTGTGTGCGCCTCTTCGTGCGTCCGCACGTTCATCTGTGCGTACATCCCTGCTTTTGTCCATGCAACCGCTCCTGCGTCGGTCTATGCGTCCATTCGTCCGTGCAGCCATCCGTGCATGCGTCCATGCATCTGTCTGTGTGCCCGTCCGTCCATCTAGTCAACACTTAAAGTACCACCATCTCGCATCTTTTCATCATATATTCCTCATATAGAAGCACCGCCATCCAGCGGGCATTCCAAGTACTGAACGAGAGGAGGCACACGCACACTTTCTTACGGCTTGCGCTTCGCGTCTACTTCCCACCTCTAACCACCTCGGGTTCATGGTATATACTAGTTCACTGTATTTTTGGCACTGCTGCCCAACGCTCGCTAAACCTATCTAAAACCTAGTAGGTTACGCCCAGCGAGTATAACGTAGCAACCCTTTCATGTCTTCTGTGCGTTGTTGAAAAATAAAAAATTCGCAGCATGCGCGTTAACTAAAAGCGGATTTCTCCTGTCTCTCATTCCCCCTTAGCAGCCATTGGCATGTTCATTGAGCTCTACCTTTATTGTTCAACAACGCACAGAAGAAATCTCTCACCAGCATGACCTTGGAGGTCAAAATGTTATACTCGTTACACGCTACTACAACGGCTATGAGGGACAAACGAGTGCCGCTATAAGAAGCTTCGCCCCTAAAAGGCAGAAAACGTTCTCTTTGTGGACGATGACGAAATCCCGTACGTGATTTTGTGGAGGCTTAGACGAACCAATTCCTTCCGACAAGGCTTCCAGTAAAGACGGCTTCGGTTCGATGACCACATATGAAGAATAAATACCAACTCTATATTCGGCTCATGTTTAGTAAGCTATGAAGAAACTACTTCTATGCTTGGTAAATAGCCACCACGGTAATCGCAAACAACAATCTTTCTCATTTATTCAGCGCTGTTTACTGTTACCGATACGTAGAACTAAAGCTTTTCTATAAATTTATGCTATGGATAATTGGAACCTGGAGTGCAATAAGCAAGCCCACCGTATACAATATAGGCCCGTCAGGATATGAGATGGCTCACCCCAGAACAACGGGAAAAAAGTGAAAATGAAAACAGAGATCCCAGCAATTGGAAAGTCGCACTGCCAGCAAACGCAGAGTGAGCGAGTGCCTCTTCATTAGTCGACGCACGCACCCAGGCGACCCGCTCGTGCTCTTCTCCGCATAAGTGCCACAGCTCGAAGGGCAAACCAAGCCGAAATTAATTGCCGCGGCTTTACCTATACCGAAGTAAACATAGCGAAAAATAAAGCCGAGAAGGTTAAAACGCTGCGTCTGTAGTCACGGTTGTTTTGAAAGCAAGAAGTAGCGCCGCGTGGTAGTGGAACAGCTCAGACGGCCATGCAGACTTTGGGACGTTGCGAAAGTTACCCCTGTTGTCTTGGAAGTAGACAGCGCAGACGAAGGTAGGTGTTTCACGTTTTCTTTGTAGATAAATCAACCAAGACCAGCAAGCGCGTGCGTCTCGTTTTTCTAGTACGCCAGCAACGTCCATCGGCCTTCGGCAATCAAGAATGTTCTCCACCTCATGATTGGCAAGGTATATAGTGTTCTGAGAGCGTATGTGAAAAACGCAAACACAGAACTTCGATAACAGTGCCACACACAAGCTAGCCTGTCCGAAGATAGCGGCGTTGCATCAAATAAAATGTCTGGCTAATATGTCCAGTTCTTTTTTGCCTTGTTTTTACAACGAAGTTGCTTTGTTTACCCGGTATTGTCCTCATCGCAAAAGTGTGTTTGTTGTAGTAGTAGTAGTAATCGTAGTAGTGGTAGTAGCAGTCACGCAGCTCACGTTGCCTGAGCGGGAGTGAATAAAACAATAAATATAAGCAAAATTATGATGATTACGAAGACGGCTTGAGGTATATTGCAGCAAAAGTCCTCATTATTCGGCAGCTTCACTGCTGGAGGCTTTTCAGGGTCTGGAACAGACAATTTTTCCCCTTTAATTTTTACGCGGTACCAAAATATAAAGAATAGCTTGTGCCTCTTACCCGGTAGATCATTAGGAATTACGTAACCGCATGGACCAGCACGTCCTGTCACTCATCAATTTTTTTCTTTCACTTACAATGTCTTGTGTTGCTTTTTTTTTCGCCGATAGTTCATTCATGTCTCAGTAGTTGTCGAATACTAAGACACAGCCTTTTTTGGCCCATCTGCCGTTGACCTCTACACAAGCGATCCACCCATCAGCCACAGACCTCAACATGTTAGAGATACGCACATGCACAAGCCGCAAACATTTTTTTTTGTTTTCAGTTTTGCACTTCATGGTTCTGGAGTGCAAAAACTATCGGAAGCCTAGGGCTGATTTGGAGTGGGTGGCACGCAGAACCTGTGATACACCCGGGAATGTACCTTTAGGTGCTTTCAAAGAACGCATCGTTAGAAGAGCGCCTCGTCACCGTTATTATCATTAGCTACTATTGCGTGCATTAGCTTCTGCATAGAAACACATCATTCAACGCTTTTTGTGTTCACATGACATTTCAGCAGCGCGACAGGCTCGCAACGTTTCGGTCACCACAGAGAAATTAAGCTTAAAAAATTGGCCCGTATCTGCATGTAATCTGCAAATGTCGTTGAAAGACGATAGTCTTGCGTGTGGAGAAAGTGAGCAAAACGTTTATTTGATGTTCTGAGCGAGAAACTCGGTGAATGGTGTTCCGGAGGCGCTGCATTAGAGTACCTCGAGCGTGCAGCGGAGGTGAACGAGCGCATCAAGTCACGTCACAACTGAGACATGAGCGCCATCTGGCAGTTTCTTTTGGAAAACAAAACCCGTCTCAGAGGTGATAAGGTGTAGAACGCGAGGCGACGGGTAGGTGCTACCACCATCTCGTCTTAGCAAAGCGTTGGAAACACTCCCCGTTCCGTACAAGCGTTGCATGGTAAGCGCAGCGTGATAAGCACTATGGTCCTTAAAATTACTTATGTATGCGTTTTCTAGTCAGAGAGACATATGCAGAATATGTGCGTATTGTTATGATGCTCCAGGCATGCGCCATAATTGCTTTTTAATTGACATATACACAAGCGTGAACGCTCAACCTTGAGCAACATTGGTGGTCGCTGCGGATGGGGTCAGCCGTTTCAAGTACCCGATGCCAATAAGAGTGGACAAACAGACATATGTTCAAACAGACAGACAGGCAGACAGACAGACCAAAGTTTTTGCGTCGAAGGTCCCCAAGAAAGACTATCGTCTTTATTAGAATGCTCACACTTCATCGGGGGCGTTTTACTATTGACATCGCGTGAGGCGCACTCGTGCTTACAATGTCGAGCGAAGAGCAACTTCGCGATGGGTTACATGGCGTGTGCAGCATCTCGCACAGGCTTGCTCGTGAGTATAGAGCAGGCGCCACTAGATCCTTAAAGCGAGGGGGGAAATGTCGCGCTATCTGGGGTGCCATTGCTACGCCTATTCCGCATAGTTCGTGTCGCGAGCCACGTACCCTAATATTTTTTTCAGGTGGCAGCTACAGTCCTGTTGTCGCGACGCCCCCTCCTAAACGGCGTGGTTAACATACGATGAACAGAATACTCTGCATACATCATTGAATGAACGAGTGCCCACAAAATTGCTAGTCGTTCATGACTGAAACAAGCGCGGCTTGCCGGTGTCTCTCAGTGTCTGCACAAGGACCTCCTTTCAGTGCTTGCGCTTGCCATGTTCCACATTTTGGTGCTACTCTCTCTTGTGCATAACTACACCGTACGGCACCCGTTTATTAAGTAGCCACAGAACCAGTGGACATTTTCCTCCGCAACAAGGTACACAGCTTACAGTTCCGAAAGGAACAATTGGGCACTTGCAACGAGATGGTGTAATCGGGCACTTGTTACCAGAGGCTTAAAAAAAAAGCTCGAAGCTTTGCGACCAACCTATATGTGCACTTTTGCTCATACACATGAACTCTGGCAAAACTCTCACTACTCCGGGGTCTTCTACGGAGGATTGCCTGCCTGCCTTCACGCAACGTTCCGAAACCGTCGTGTTCGACGATCCGAAACAGTGCCGCCTACAGCGTCGAGTCTACATTGTAAGAAATCCGACCGAACGTCTCTCCGTTCTTTTCCGCTTTCAGGAGCGGCTCCTTTCTACCCGAATGGTGTTGAAGCAACCCGACAGAAAATATTACCTGATAAGAGATGCACCTGGCCAACCTACCTCTGAAAGTCAGGAAGCCACCCGTGCATTCGCGCCCTAAAGTTCATTATTAACAGACAACTGTGAATTAAGTAGCAGCCGTGGCGTTGGCTTTCCTTATCCTCTCACGTATACTCCTCGGGCCGTGGTGTATCAGAGTGGGCGTACGTGTGCAAGACCAGTCTATCCCTTCTTTCATCTAATCAACAGCAGACCTGTTTAAGCCGCGTGCAATCTGCCTGTTAGAAACAAAGCTATCATCATCATGGAACGACACGCGTAATTTTCATCTTTTTATTCTTCGTCGTGGTCTTCCTCATTTTGTGCTTCTCTTCTATAATACGTGTGCCGATTCCTCCAGCACATGACTCAATAAATGTGATGCACGAGACGACGAGTTCGCAGAGAGAAGAGAACAAGATAAATTATGGAGGAGAGGGAGCAGAGTTTCTTTGTGAAAAAATGTTTGAACCCGCGTATCTACTATCTGTAAGCTGGTAGAGGCCAGAGTACTGTGCGTTGTTAGTGCACAAAAGAGAACTCTGGATGGTTGATATTTCTCAAGCCCGTCACTTTGGCATGTCTGATCATCATGAGGGAAGCCATAAATAGAGGGGCTTATACTATCGTGCCCTGGTGAGATTTACATGCCTCGAGCGAACTCTGACTTTACTGCTGTTTTATCAGCATCTAATTAGGTTGTGTACCAGACTGTACTTCGGAGGAACAGCCTCATGCTTTTGCCTTTTTTTATATGCACAAGAAGAAAAGCAAACCTAAAACCTCCTCTTCGTTGTGCGCAAGCCCTGCCATATCAAGAAAGAAAGCGTTCAAATTCCAGTTGCCTCGGAGCTCGGGAGCCCTCTTGAGCGGTTTCGGTGAAGAGAACGATAAATGATTAAATGCCAGAATGCTAAGTGAATTGTGGAGTACATCTGCAAAAAGTAGACAAATGATGTGAAACGAAATTCGCTCCTAATGTTTTGTTTCCCACAAGCTCGAACAAAGTGTGCGTATTTCTTACTAGCGTCAACTTCTGCGTGATGTTCAAACACATCTTGTGAACGCGTGTTAGGTCACTTAACTCGAATGTAAAGTACTCGTACGCACGTCTGCTGTGCTTGTACAGACATTGTTCGCTACAAAGAACTTGAAATGATGTTTGTAAAGCCTCCTGTATGCGAGCCAAAACGGATCCCTCATGTCGGCTTCTTTGGATTAGGACGCTCATCTTATGTCGTCTCAAGTCGCTTTCAACATTGAACTGGGCCATCGTTGTTTACACGAAACTCGTCACCTGTTCCATTACTGGCGTGACAGCACCTTGTATTCTCTCTGAATTATGCCGTATAAAAGAACCCACCGTAATAATGGAGCGAACCATGTGCGAGTTGGCGAGCAACGGAAACCAACTCCTCTGAGAAACACTTACATGTTCCTTTCCGTGCTTTCTCCCGTTCAGCGATCTGCGTCCTATCGTGAAATACCAACTACCCAGCTACTACAACATAGTTTAGTGCGCCATCACGGCCCGCAGTGGCAACACTGAAGGAAAATGAGTGCAGCCACTTACCAGGTGGTCGCTTTTGCGAGTGTGCCTCGGGGAGCAGATGACGTCGGTGGTGACGGAGCGCAGTCCATCACGGCCTTCCTTGTCCAGCTTCTGCCGCAGCACGAGACTCTTGGTTCCCGGCAATAAGGTCAACGGCGACCCCTCCGGGTCGGCCATGCGCAGCTCGATGTCACCGTTGGGTTCGCTAGCGTTGCCGACCACCTGGAGCCTGCCTATGATACTCTCTGCGAAGTATTTGCACATTATACAGGTGAAACTAGAGCAATCATCAAGTGGTAGAGCCTTACGTTTTGTGCATGACGTCACTTAGCTACTTTGACCTTCTCACTTAAGGGTGGGAAACACATAGAACATGTGTTTCAACAGTTCTTACGTCAACACACGAAGCGCAATGCTTCCTCATTCAAAGCCCGCATATATCGAGATTATTTTTTTAACCGAACGCTGGCTTTACTCGGTTAGACAAATGCACATAGATCTATGTACGTATAGATGCTGATCCTGAGATTCTGCATCACTACCCATCGTGTGGAATGGTCCAAAAATTGTGTCACAGATCAAATATTCAAAATTTAGAAAAGAGAAGATATCGTTAGCTCCTTCAATAAAGTTTTATCGTAATTACTTCCTGAAATTGAAAATAAAACAAATTGCACCCACTAACTGCAAGTATTCGAGTGCAAATACCTTGGTGTTTAATTTCAACAGATGGTACTTGGAATAAGCATAATGAGTATGTTACGGCGAGATGCTGTATAGTGTTCAATTTTGGTTAAACAAAAGTTTCCAGTCAGGTCCTCCCAAAATCAAAGAATTACTTCATTTTTCGAGAGCCAGATCTATATAAAAATGAATCTGTGTTAGCTTGGAAGTCGCTAAGTAAAACGCTAACTTAATATGCTTGAGCTGGTACAAAACCATTCAGCCAGTCTTTTCAGTTGTAACTAAGACTTCATCTTTAGTGTTACTGCACTTAAGGACTGCTAGGAGTCGAAAAGACTAAGTACATGCAGAAAAAAAGGAACATTCGTCTATAAATGCTTTCTAAAATTTTTGCGGCTAGGTTGAAATAAACAAAGAATCTAACCGTTTACCTCCTACATTTTTATCTCACAGAAGTGACCATTCTCTAATTTAAAAGAACGTTTTTGTAGAACAAGAGCATTTCAAAACTGTATACCTTTTTTCTCGAACAATCTCCAAGGAAAGTCGTCTTTTACACGATAGTGCTGACGGTCACACTAAAACCTTGTTCAGAGACAGATTGTTGCACTCATAGCCACAGCTTTTAATTTCTGTTTTTGTGTTAACGTTGTTTCCATAATTATTGTTTTACGTATAGCTACGTTATCCAGTGTATTCCCCGCTGCTGATAATAAGTAAATAAATTGAAACTGATTACGAAAGCTTTAACACTCTAAAATACTACAAACAAATTTAGAGTTTGAAATTAGCTAGTTTTGCAGAATGGTTTGTTATGACTAGTAACATAGATTTGTGTAATTGACTGATACCTTTCGAGGGGTATTTTCATATTCGATATTCACAGCTTGCGTTCAAATTTCATCGTGAAAACTTCTGCTGAGTATACATATTATATTCTAGCATCTTATATTCACTTTTCATATCCTATATAGTGCAAAAAGCCTGAACACACCAAGGCTTTAAACAAAGGAAGTTGTGCTGGTAAAACTGCACTTTGGTTTAGAACATGTGTGGTACTTTCATATAAATGGCTTGTTGCCTACCATAAATATCTGAGACACAATCCTGGCTTTGTCATCACCCACGTGAGCGCTTCATGGTTTAGATCCCGGGTCCAACGGGGCATAACGATGTGACCCATGGCAACACGTCAGAACTTTTTACCCTTTTCCTTGTCACGTCTTATTTTCGCTGACGATACTGCAGAATTCCCTGCACAGAAGAGGGCCCTGAAAGCGCTACTGCACGTTTTGCGATCGACCAGCCTTACTGAACGGTTGTAGCTAGGACGCCCTTCCTGTGTGTGTTTTCGTTTTTTTATGAGTGCGCGTGCGTTTTTTTTCTCTTTCTACCCCCTCTTCCTTGCCCCTACTTCCCCGCCCCCAGCGCTGGGTAGCAAACCAGATGCCAATATCTGGTTAACCTCCCGGCCTTTCCTTTCTTACTCTCTCTCTCTCTCTATTTTCGCTGACAGATTCCTAACGTCGCTAAAGACAAACATCACTTCTCTTTCAGTTTGAATGAGAAAGAGTGTTATTACTGTTTGATATATAATTGTCAATGCACGGATTGTTTCTTTCTCTCCTTGCCTACAAAGCCCCCTCCCCTCCCCACACGTCCTTTCTCTCTGGCTCCCGCCATGACGGCTTCATGCAACTCGACTCACCTCCTCAAAAGATTAGGAACCCCTCGCTTAGAGTAATGTAAATGAACGAGGTAGCAGCTAAAGACTTTAGTAGAAATTCTGTAACAGAGTCAGTGGGACTAATTAAATTTACGGCATTACCTTCTTGAGACACCAATACTTAGTGGACAAAAAAAAATACACGTTCTAGATGTATGAAGTCTGGTAAATAAATTGCCAGTTCTCATTATGAAGATGTGTTGAAACGTTCCTTTAAGTTCAGGATCATTGTCGATATTTTCTACACAGTCTTTAATGAATAAAATGTCGATATCAAAGCGGGGTAATCGGGTAGACTTACCAACTGGAAAGGCTTCGTTGACTGTGAACGTCTCGGACGACCCACCGTGTGTCAGGTAGCACAGGTTGTCTGTACGAAAAGAATGAATGGAATCTTAATCATCCTTCTGAATAAGCATGGCTTCTGGATGGCGCGCAATAAAGCAAGTCATGACACTAAGTTCGTCGTTCCTTCCATGGAAACTTGTTGATAAAGGTAAACGTCAACTAGACCACCATGCAAGTATCATATCAGGCAAGCTTTTCGATCTTCAAACTAGAGCGTTAGTTAAGTTGAGTAAAATGTGCTTGCGTCGTGTTCACCTCCCTTTGCCCCGCCCCACCACGGTGGTCTAGTGGCTAAGGTACTGGGCTGCTGACCCGCAGGTCGTGGGATTGAATCCCGGCTGTGGCGGCTGCATTTCCGATGGAGGCGGAAATGTTGTAGGCCCGTGTAGTCAGATTTGGGTGCACGTTAAAGAACCCCAGCCGGTCGAAATTTCCGGAGCCCTCCACTACGGCGTCTCTCATAATCATATGGCGGTTTTGGGACGTTATCAAATCATCAACCTCCCTTTGCGCTTGAAGTTAGTGTGTCCTCTCCAGTAACTATTAATACGCACTAACTCATTCAGTTCTTTGCTTTGCTGTGAGAATTCTGCTTCGTTGTGTGAAATATTGGTGAATTAGAGCTCTATGGTCCGTGCATCGCATCTTGCCAACTATTACTACATCTTTCACAATGCCTGAGAGTGCACTCAAAATGAAGTCTATTTCATTTTAGTTTCCCCGTTATGACACCATCACGTTCATCTACAGCTAGCCCACTTTTTTTTTCGTAGAAGGTATTCAACATTCACAAATTATGACGTTCTGCGAAGTCTTCTCCCCTCCGGCATTTCGAGAGCCGATGCCATATAGCCCACTGCGTGGTATACGGCATGTTTCTTGCTTACTGCGGCGTTAAAATCGCCCATCTGTACAGCATACGCTGTGTTGCCCTTTTCCAATTGCTTACTCGGCGTTTTCGTAGAAGCGTTCACACAAATGGTCATCGTGGCTCGATGTAGGCGCGGTCGCTTGTACCTTTTTAGAGGCGAAGCTCCATATAGCGCCACCCGTTCGTCCTGCGTAGTATGTAACCAGTCTTACGCTTTGACCTAAAGACATTTTGACCTCCAAGGTGGTGCCGGTGAGAGATTCCTTCTGTGCGTTGTTGAACAACAAAAAAATAGTGAATAGTGCTCAATGTACATGCCAATAGCTGATAATGGGGTATGAGAGACAGGAGCATTCGGCTTTTAGTTAACGTGCACGCTGCGATCCCCATTAGCAGCCATTGCATATACATTGAGCACTATCTGAAGGGAAAGGGTTGCTACGTTATACCCGCTTGGTGTAACCACCTTAGTTTTAGAAAGGTTTAGCGAGCGTTGAGCCGCAGTGCCATGAATACAATGAACTAGTATATACCATGAATGAACTCGAGGTAGTTAAAGGTGGGAAGTAGGTACGAAGTGCAAGCCGTAAGAAAGTAAAAGCCGAATTCTCCTGTCTCTCATTTCCCATGCAGCCACTGGCATGTACATTGAGCTCTATCTGCCAGGAAAAGGTTGCTACGTTATACTCGCTGGGCGTAACCTCCTTGGTTTTAGAAAGGTTTAGCGAGTGTTGGGCCGCAGTTCCATGAATAGAGTGAACTAGTATATACCATGAACTCGAGGTGGTTAAAGGTGGGAAGTAGACCCGAAGCGCAAGCTGTTAGAAAGTGTGTGTGTGCCACCTCTCGTTTAGTCCTTGGAATGTCCGTTGGATGGCAATGTTTCTATATGGGGAATATATGACGAAAAGATGCGAGATGGTGGTACTTGGAGTGTTGAATAGATGGACGAACGGACACACAGACAGATGCATGAATGGACGCATGAACGGACGCAGGGGCGGATGCATGGACGAACGAAGAAACGGACGCACGCACGGACGGGCGGATGGACGCATGGACGGTCGCACAGACGGAAGGAAGCAAGAACGAATGGACGGACGAATGCTTCACCCCACTCTCCATCATTCACTCCGTGGATATACTGCCAATTTTTTTACGATACTGGCCACTCTCTCACAGATGCTATAGAATTCTTCTATGTTGCTAGTGATATTCTCATCTACGAGAGACCCCGCCCTATAGTTCTCTTCTCTCAACTAACCCACGGTAGCATAGAACGTGTCCGTTCTCCAGCACTGTATAAGCATCACATGTCCTCCTAACTTCGCTGAGCCCTATAAATGTGAAGCATTTCTTAGTGAACTTCGGCGACTTTGAGCGTATCTATCTATCTATCTATCTATCTATCTATCTATCTATCTATCTATCTATCTATCTATCTATCTATCTATCTATCTATCTATCTATCTATCTATCTATCTATCTATCTATCTATCTATCTATCTATCTATCTATCTATCTATCTATCTATCTATCTATCTATCTATCTATCTATCTATCTATCTATCTATCTATCTATCTATCTATCTATCTATCTATCTATCTATCTATCTATCTATCTATCTATCTATCTATCTATCTATCTATCTATCTATCTATCTATCTATCTATCTATCTATCTATCTATCTATCTATCTATCTATCTATCTATCTATCTATCTATCTATCTATCTATCTATCTATCCACCTACGACTTTTAGATTTCCTGGCCATTTCAATAATGGTATCGATACCAAACTTGGTATGGCATAACTTGACTGTATGAAGAATATATTTGACTCATCATAACATAAAATTAATAGCATTAAAATCATAACACGAATCACACTTCATGGTCCTGCAGCTCTTGCGGTGGTTTCGTTCACATGGCAAGTTGCAAAACTCGTATGGTATGGCATGATTGCATGAAGAACTCAAGCAGCAGACCCTAACACGAAAATCATGACATGCGTGTCATGTAACAACATGACTACATGTCACGCTTATGATTCGCCCACGGCCGTTTCGCTATAGCGTCACATATCCCAAATCTGGTATTAGGCCGCGTTCACACTAAGCATTCCGGCCGCCGAAAGGGCCCTCTCCGCGCCGATCGCTCTCGGACCGATTTTTGCGGCGTCTGCCACCGAATCGGTCACTGCGGATCAATAGGAGCGCTAGTCAAGGAATTTCGAAAAATGGCGGCCAAGCCATGCTCAATTGTTGTGCGCAGTGCACGTAACTGAATGTTGAAACCGACGGGAATTTAACCTACTTTGTGCCTACTGCGCCTCCGTATTTCGTGAAAGAGGTGACCGAGCTTGCTGTTGGCGTGACCGAGCTTGTTCAACACCACCTAGACTATTCACAAGGCCCGTTCATAACCCTCTCTCCAGACGGCATACGTCACGCTAGTTATCCGATGTTATGACCGGCACAGCAAGGAGGTGGCTTGCAAGGGACGCTCATCGGCGTAACGGTCAAACGCTGTCCGCGTCCTGCAGGAACGCGGGAGGCGTCTGTGTGCGCCGCAGGAAATGCACATCAGCGTCGCTGGGACAGTCGACGTCTAGCGCGTGCACGGACGGCTATAAAAGGAGCGTGTCGGGAGTGCGCTGTGCTCTCTCTCTCTGGACTTCGCTGGCCCGCTCGTCTCGAGTGCGCTCTGGGCCCTTGTGATGGAAAGGCGCGTCTGTACGCTCTCGTTGCAATGTACTTCTCTTGCAAATATGTAAATTAAACGCACCTTCTGCTTGTTCGTGAGACGCGTCGCAAGAGTCGTCCTTCGCTGGATCCTGGGTGGCAGCCTCAACCCCTCCCCTGGCATATCACCGACTGTCCAGTGGCCGAGGACGCGTCGCTCAGGTAGTGGTATTGGTCACCCCGCGCACTTTTTTACCCCGAACGGCGGACAAGCCACGACAGGTTTGCCTTTCATCGCTACCTGCTTCGCTGGTTAGACTGCGTTAGGCTTGGTGCTGCATCGCACTGCTCTGAGTCTTCGTCCGTTCCCACGTGTCCTATTTTATTGGTGTTGTATTTGTGAGTATGTGATTACACATCGATCAGTGTGACATGGGACGTTGTTGTGTTCCCGGGTGCCGCGGCAATTATGACAGTGGTCCCAAAGTGCGTGTTTTCGCATTCCCCAAGGATGAAGCTTGGAAGAAGTCTTGAATAAAAGCCATTCCGCGAAAAAATTTCACACCAAGCATACACTCCAAGGTGAGAAACTGCTGAAGTTTGTTGTCTTACCGGCTCTATCGCATTACTGGCGTTCTGGCTCTGTTGAACGGAACGAGTATTGTGAGTGGTGATGGTAGTTTTGTCGCGCTTCAGGTAGGGCAGTGCGGTAAAATAGAACAGAAATACTCAGGCTCGTGTCAAAGTTCCCATTAGCCCGTTTCGTATGCAAGTAATGAAGTCACTGTTATGCTTGGCGCAGGTCTGTGAACTCCACTTACTCGAGGCTGACTTCATCACAAAGCTGTCACATTTCAACGCAGCGTTGGGACGGACATTTACAGTCGCCAGCGAGAGGGTGCGCCTAGTGTCAGATGCTATACCATCGGTGTTTCGGAACTGTCCGTCCTACCTGAGCACGAATCGCAATCGTCGAGAATCTCCTGTCTCGAAACGAGCTCGAATGGAAGACGAGGCCTTGAGCAAAGCGATTAAGGACTCTATATGCGCAAAAAAAAAGCGAAGAGCAGAGAAATGCTGTGTCCTCTTTCGAACACTTAAGAGGCAAGCTTTCTGCTGTATGCAGTAATGATTTCTGGGCCATCAAGGCCAACGATCGTTGTGTGATGTTTCTCCGCATCGAAGATAATCCTTCACCGCACGTGAGGTTTTTCGTCACTGTGCTTGCTGATCTCTAACTTGCAGTCTCAGCAGGTATGATCAAGCTGGTTTCATTACCTTGCGGAGGCGCAGTTCCAGACGCAGTGCGCGACATCCGGACGTTGTCCTCACTGCTCCAGCAGCTGGAAAGCCACATGACTGAGACGCCTGAAGTTGCAAGTCCGTCGAAAAGAGCGTCGGTGTTGCAGCATATCGGCTCCTTATTGAATGAACTGTCCCAAGACAGTGACACGACCGAAGAACACAGTGCTTTGTTTCGTTTGCTAAATGAGCAAATAGCTCTCGCACTCGCTGCTTCCATTCGTCGCTACAAGGCTGAAACATTAGTGTTTTCTAGCATCTTGCACTCCATATCTCCGCACGCCTATAACTTTGCCAGATCAGCGTCGACGTTGACTTTACCCCATCCTTCAACCCTGCGCCGCGTTTGTTCCAAGTATTGAGGCGATCCACTGAAGGAGCAAAACGAAGCGAACTTCCTCTCCTACATTCGAGAAAGAGTGAAGTGCATGCAGCCGCACGAAAAGACAGTGACGCTAATGGTGAATGAAATTCATATCAAGCCATACTTCCATTATAAAGGGGGCAGCATAGTTGGATCTGCAGCCAATTCTCAAGAGGCAGTCACAACCGCTCATGTTTTTATGCTTCAGTCGCTCTTGTCATCAAACAAAGATGTGCTTCACATTATTCCTGCTGCTAAAATGACCACCGAAATTCTACATGAGTTCTGCAAGAAAGTAATTTTAGAAGTGGAATCTATGGGCCTCAGGGTCATTGCTGTAATTACCGACAACAATTTTCTCAACCGGAAAATGATGTTTTTCTCAGAGAAACAGAAAGTAAGCATTGTATATCCTCATCCAGCCGACAACAATCGGCCTCTGTTTTATGTCGTAGATCCTGCGCACACACTGAAATGCATCAAGAACAACTGGATGAATCAAAAAAACGAAGGAATATGCTTTTACTTTCCTGAAGTGAGCCTGTCAAGAATATTGCCCGATGGGCCACCCAGAATGAAAGCAGCATCATTTGAAGCCGTACGGCAGCTGTATGCACTGGAGCAGACATCGCTTCTCAAGCTTGGCTACAAGCTAAATTCCAAGGCAATCAATCCAACACCTATGGAGAGACAAAATGTAAAGTTGGTGTTAAATGTCATTAATCCGTTTGTATCAAACGCACTTGAGACGCGTGGCGATGCCC